GGCGAAGTGGGTGCGGGCATGAGCGGGGGCAACATGGCATGTGGGTTTGTATCAATACCGGTACGCGCAGCGACACTGACGATACCAGTCTTACAGCTTGCACCTAGTAGAACCAGCTGCCGCTGCACGGAAGCATGCACTCATCAGCGTTCAGTGACGGCGTGGGCCGACGGGGCGGGCGCCAACATGCTAAACAGCCGTTGTTCGCACCCGCGTATGTGAAGCCCTCGTTCAGGCCGTGCTCAATGTGAAACTCGTCTTCCATCGCTTCACGAGGTCCCTGCACCGCGCTGGCTCCGAACTCAAGCACCGGGCATTGCCCCGAGACCGTTGGAGCCGTGCTGGAGCAGACTAAGCTGCGATTCCTGACCACGAAGCATGAACCAGTTGCACATGGCCGCACACCGCTGCCGAACGCTGATCTGGCCGTGTCCGCCGAAAACCTCACTGGTCGCATGGTTAGCTCTGGCACTGGCGCTGCACGATGAAAAAGGAGAAGGCAGGCCTACAGCTGATTTATACGCTCAGCTAATCATGGAGAGGGCCAGTGCTCGGGTCAACAAATGTGAGTGCTCATTGCCGTGAGAGTGAGTGCATCGGCCCCAGCTCAGCGTGCAGCTGCTGTGCACGCAACACGCTTCTGGAGTCTAGCACCCTTTAGACGCCATCCGCTTTGTGTAGTGCTCCCAGTTTGCTCACGCGGAAGCTAAGATGATTCAGGAGCATTCGCTGAAGACTTGACCTGCTCATAGCTGCCGGGGCACGGCCCGCGAGCCTGCAATCACCGCGAGGTCTGGAGGCCACATGGCACACCGCTCCACCCAGCATAGCATGCTGAGCCCAGCCCAGCGCGGTACATAAATTTGGCAGTTACTATCAGTGACAATTAGTAACTTGTGTGCTCACGACTTCCAACCTCATGTTACAATCAGCGGGCCCCTGCACAAGGCCCCAAAAAATCCACACCAAGCCTGCGAGCTCGCAGGTGCTTTGCGACAATTGCTTTTGCTGAACGGTCGGGGG